GAACCCGCGACCCTCAGATTGCGAGTCGAGCGCCGTAACCACCTGGCCATGCCGGGCCAATTAAAATTTAAAGGCGGTTAATAGTAAAGCAAATCGCTAAGGTAAGCAGTTTGTCTTTCCAGAAAGAGATTTGACCAAATGATTAGTGGCGAGTTTGACCACTCAGTGAAAGCGATATGCCTAAGTATTGAAGCGATAATTTTACACTATGTTAACTGCTAGTGAGCAAGTTAAAAATTAATTTGGCTATTATAATGATCACTTAATTAAGGTAAGTGTAATAACTCTCTACCGTCATATATTTTACTTTTCCCAAATGACCTTATTGCTTTCCGGAACACTGTATACTGATGAGATAAAACTGGGCGTTAACCTAAGTTGTTCCCGACCGAAGCTTTGCATTATTTTTCCAAATCCTCCCATTGTATACATATGTATGTGTTTGTGGGTTATAATAAAGGATGCTACTACAAAAATCTATCTATCTGTCTGTTTATTGGCCCGGCATAGCCAGATGGCTAGGGAGCTCGACTCGCAATCCGAGGGTCGCGGATTCGAATCCCCGTCCCACCAAACATGTTCGCCCTTTCAGCCGTGGGGGCGTTATAATGTGACGGTCAATCCCACTATTCATTGGTAAAAGTGTAGTCCAAGAGTTGGCGGTGGGTGGTGAGGAATAGCTGCCTTCCCTCTAATCTTACACTGCAGCCTGTCATGGCCTGATGGCTAGGGAGCTCGACTCGCAATCCGAGGGTCGCGGATTCGAATCCCCGTCCCACCAAATATGCTCACCCTTTCAGCTGTGGGGGCGTTATTATGTAACGGTCAATCCCACTATTCGTTGGTAAAAGAGTAACTCAAGAGTTAGTGGTGGGTGGTGATGACTAGTTGTCTTCCCCCTAGTCTTACACTGCTAAATTAGGGACGGCTAGCAGCACATAGCCCTCGTGTAGCTTTGCGCGAAATTCAAAACAAACAAACTGTCTGTTTATCTATCAAAACAAGTATTTTTAGTGTTGTTAAACCTTGTGTTTTGTGCTAGGTTGAATACAACATCATTCTGAATTTGCTGAGACGTGATGTAAAGAACAAATTAGAGACTGTAGCTACTGATTATTTTTTAATTTCAGTCGGTTGACATTTTTCAACGTGCTGTAATCTTAGATGTACTGACAAATCAGTTACGGGTTTCACGTATCCTCCTCAACCCAGAAAATGGTGATTTAAGATAACCATACAACTTTTGTGTGATGTGTTTATTTCAATGAAGTAAAAGTGGTCAAAACTTTTTTTTTAATCTAACACGACCAAACGCAGAACATTGAGGTCTAATATCAAACATTTAGATGCTAGAATTTAAATTTTTGAATAAAAAATAATGCTAGAAAAAATTGGATATGATAGGATATTTAACGCAATACTATAGAATTTTAGTTAAAGCCGAGAGTTTGTTTGTTTGTTTGTAATTAAGCACAAGGCTACACAATGGGATATCTGTGCTCTGCCCACCACGGGTATCGAAACTCTGATTCTAGCGTTGTAAGTCCGCAGACGTGTCACTGGGGGGCATCTGGTGTACAATAGCGCATGTATGCCGCGCACTTTTCGTTCGGTGTTAATATTTGATACAGTTTTATAAAGATCTAACCGATTGTTTCCTGTTTCTAAACACTGGATAAGACAAATTCTCGATGATTCTCTTGGGCTTGAGCGACTAACGTTTTATTCTGAATACTTAGTGGGTGATAAAATCGAACGCGGCCAGACGCAAAACAAACCAGGTCCAATATTAAACATGTGGATGCTAAAATTAAAATTTTGGAATGAAAATAATGCTCCAAAAAAAGTGTAGTTGAAACAGTAATGTTTGTATTCGTAGACCGATGCGAACAACGTGGAACACCTTAGATGGTAGTACACACTTACATACCTTGTCTACCGGAAATAAGTCGTCGCATTATCTGTTACGGCAAGCCCACCCCCAGTGCAGTGTACCTGTTAATAAATTTATTTAAGGAATATCCTTGCATCCTCGTTGAGTGTTTTCATAAAATACTTGTTGAAATGCCATAACATTTCCTCTTTGTGTAAACCGGTAAGGCATTTCGAAATTGTAGATAATTGTAGTAATTGGGCTTCAACTAAAATCCGTAAAAGAAAAAAAACACTTTTAAATATAAGTACGCACTCACAACTGCCTTTTTTACTGTTCTCACGAATATAATTATGTACATGCATCTGACACGTATTTAGCATTTTCAACTTGAACGGCACCCTATGCAATACATGGGCTAAACAATCAGGGTCAGAGACCCCATGACTTAAGCATCGACTGTTTAGGACTGTTGACCAGAAGGAGGCAACAGTACCCGCTGCCTGTGCGACTTATAGAATCGCGTCATTGCCGAAAGTACAAAAAAAGGCATATCGCGGTTCGATCCTTGGACCTCTTGGCACGCTAACTACTAGGCCACACCTTATATATACATATATCGTATAGATATATCTGTAAGATATTCAAAATTTCTAATCATTTTGCGCATATCTTCTCTAACATTAAATTTAAGACACAACTAACTGTACATAAGCTTGTTTCGCACAAGTACACTATGTGTATACTTAAATACAGTATTCTAGCTTCACTGCATTACACCCTATTTTTATTTATTTTTCTAGATTTGTTGTTTTCCAGAATCGAAATTATTAATTTTATCTTCACTATTATATATAATATTTCACTTTCACAGATGTTGAATTTGTGTTAAGAAGTTGACTCTTCGCTTAATAATAAATTCCAATAAGCTTCGTCCTAGTCTTAAGTTCTAAAAATAGTTCACATTTAGGGTGGTCCATGAACGGGGTTTACCTTTCTATCACAAAAGAATCATAATGTTGCTCATTCTGCATTCTTTCTGAGTTAGTTCGCAATCTTTATCACATGTTACAACTTCACTTAACCATTAATGAAAATAACGACAGTGTCACAGGAAGGATGTAGTCTTTGGTACAAGCAATCATGTAAAGACAAAGATTTCCTGTTGCCTGCCGTAGAACATAGTTGTAACGTCATATTAACGTCATCCTCTTTTCTCTGGCGCCATTCCATGCCTCCATTTCAACTAAAAATTTATATTCCTTGCATGACTGCTCGTATAGAGTTCACTCTGGATATGATCAGATATTTAACAGAATACTACATTTAATCTGGATATGATCAGATATTTAACAGAACACTGAGTTCACTCTGTATATGATTAGGTATT